TATAGTTTTCTGATTTTTCGAGTCCACGTCGTGAACCATAAGGATTCACGTCGTGAATATGGGATAAGCGTGTTCGGCAAGGACTCTTTCAGCCGCATGCATATCTTCTAGAATTCTCCACTCATGTCATGCATCATGAACTTTTCACGTCGTGAGTACATCTTTTGCTGACTTTTTTCGTTCTTCTTTTCTTCAATCCTCCAAAGTTCCATATTTTGTTAATTTCAGTCCCTATCTTCGAAAATGCTTCTATTTGGCTGCAAAATAACAATTTAAACTTATAAGTACCATTATTCTATGCAAATAACCAAAATATTAATAGAAATGTAAATAAACATTGCCTAAAATATATATAAATATAGCAATATCAAAGGCAAAAAACATTTAGCACATAAACCATATTAGGCATACTTCCTAAAACAAGCTAGTGTGCATGTCTAAAATATAGTAGACACACATCTCACAATCATTGCTTAGTATTTTAAGTTTACGTCTAGAAATACTACAAATTCCTAGTTCGCTTAAACTAATGCTTTAATACCAACTGTGACATTCCCAATTTCACGGACAGAAAAGTCCGATTTGTTTATGCTTTATTCGAAAATCAGAATACCCTTATGAAGAAAAGTATTGTGGAATTTGTTCCCAAAAGATAAATATGATAAAAAATTTCAAAGCATTTCCAAAGAAATGTATTTCATTATATTAAAACCTCGGGATGTCATGTTCGATACATATCAAAACATAAACAAAACAACATAGGCCTTACAACAATTATTTATACCTACTGACCTATAATCAATCATCCCTCATCAATTCATCCAACTATGCTCTTGTGCCACTACCTGTAATACAATAAACTGAGTGGGTCAGGCTTGAGAGCCTGGTGAGCACATAGGGTTTTCAACCTACAATAAATAAGTTTATTAATTTCATCAAGCCCAACAAACCCGATTACCCGTTCCCGTTATCCTCACTTTACATCCCTAAAGAATCTAATATAAGGGACCTATCCTAAGGATTTTCATCGGGCTGGACACTACTGCAAATGGGGTACCTCGTTAATAACTGTCTATTAGGCAACAATGAGTGGGATGGAGTACACCGGCAAAGACTTCGTTCACAAACACCTACAGGTTGCGAGCCTGCTAGCGTTCCACTAGACTGTTTAGAATAGTCCGTGATCATCATCTATACTCCGCAAGATGACTGGATCATCGTCAACATCGAAGCCTCTCATCATTTTATCACACATCGTCTATTTCATCTACCCATGTTTTCCCCAACATTTTTGTAGATATAAAATACATATACAGTTTAAATCATTTAAAACTTGTATAAAAATGTTCATCCAACATAGATATCAAGTAAACAGATAATATGCACACGTAGCACATAATTTATATAAAATACTTCATATTGAATGCCAAGCATTTAGCAAAGTTCAGATTGTATAAATAAAATGTTGTCGTAATTTTCCGCATTTCGTTCGTGTTCATACTGAAATTTGATGCACTGGAAGAAGTCCCCATTCCCAACCATTTTGCTTTGTCCCTTCCCATCGGTCAAATAATTTTTCTAGCTCAAGTTCATCAGCATCATTTAAATCTATCCCGACACGAGCATCAGAAAATTTTGTGTGTCTACTAGAGCCCATTTTTGTTCTTTTTGATTGGCCTTCTTCTCGTAGTATACAATATTGTTCATATTTTTTCCACCTTGGGCTAAGAATTAACAATTTCCAATAGTCATGGGACTTGAATACTTTTCCTGTTTACTTGTGAAAAAAATACAAAGCTTCTTGAAGAATTTCTTCATCTCCTTGACCACTTATCCATTGGGTTTTTAGGTTGTTATACAACCCTTTCATTTCTTAGGCGTCTTTTTTTATTTCTCAAAACATTGAATTCAATTGGTGTTTGGTACGATACTCTTCATCTTCTTTACCTAACTCCTTGTGAAATCTCTCAAGAATGCAAATCCAAAAATGATCTCCTAGTTGTGCATTTACCTTCCTGAATCCTTTGATATTCCAACCCAAGCTTTTGTCAACACTAGCTCTTCGTAGGGAGTGCATGATGTTGATATCTGCCTTCCCTCTTGCGACTATTGTTTTCCTTTGGGGTGTTGATGGGGGTGGTGTGGGTTGAGTTTCACGTAAAATCTCGTCCTCCGACTCATTGATGCTTTGGAATTGTGGTTGAGAGTGAGAGGCTTGTGTTTGGGTTTCAGTTTGAGGTTGATGGAGTAGGATTTAGGTTTGGGTTGATTTGGAGATAGTTAATAGAGAAAAACCAAAATGTTTGTAAACATATTTGGAATAACATTTGAAAATTGCATGTCGTAGCATTGCCTAACATTTTGATATTGAAATTGTGGAGGAGATTGAATGAGAGCATTTAGTTGGGGACGATAAACGCCATGAGATGAACTGATAGCAAAAATGTTTCGAATTGTGGTGCTTGAACTCGAAACATTGGTTTTTTCTTCTTCTATCAGAGTTTGGGGTTGGATTATTGGGATACATCTTTCTAAAGAATATAGAGAGAAATTGATAGAATAAGGTGTGAGTTTGAACGTTAAAATATATATGTATTTATAGATGTGCAAAATGGTGTGTGTGTGTGTATATGTATGTATACACACACACACACACAGAGAGAGAGAGAGAGTTATAGCCGTTAGTTTTAAAGGAAAAAAATTTATTTTTTTAAACATTCTAACCGTTGGAACGGATAGTTAGCAAAAAATATAATAAAAAAGTTTTGAATTGGACCAGTGAAGGAAGGAGAGAGAATGCGGGGATGAGTTCTCTCACCCCATTCCCGCACCACCTTTCTCACACCCTTGGTGTTGTGTTCTGAGGTGTGGGTTTGTTTCTCGTACGTTTTTTACGCTACACTCTGCACAGCCTAAGGCCCTTCTCATACGAAACCCTAATTATTTCATATATACAAATGTGATCCTTGCTCCATTTCACTCATTGGATTGAGTTCATTATATCCCTCATCACTAGAAGATGTCGATTTTGGGGTTATTCATAATTAGAGTTTCATTGCTCATGATTTTTAAAGAATCAATAATGTATAGTTTTAATCTAAAGTCTCCAATTGACTATTATTGTATGAATATTAAATATTGTATGCATGAATCGGTAGATGTGCTAACTTAAGCATTATGAAATTTATGGATATTAAATGATACGAAACAACTGAAATAGCACCACGATGTAAGTGTTTTATGTCTAATTATGTATTCGTTAATATTAATGTCTATTTATACACAACAAACATTCGAGAATTTTGGTATATTTAACTTTTGTGGATAAAAAAATATAACTAAATATTGAAAAAGAAAACAACAAAATGGAGTGAAAATTTTAAATTATTTTTTATATATCAAGGATCTCTTTGAAAAGATGATGAAAATTGTTGAATATTGATATATTTATTTTTTTACAAATAAAAAACATGGTCTAAAAAATTCAAACTAAAATAAAAAGAAGAAGAAGTGCATTTTGATATAACTTGTTGCATGTACATCTAATGTAAAGGTCTACAACCATTTCTTGGTTGTTGATCATTATAGTTTTCGACGTTCATTATTGGTTTCCTGCTTCATTGTTAATAATGGTTTATATATATATATATATATATATATATATATATATATATATATATATATATATATATATATATATATATAGTGAGAACTTGCAAACTAGATATCAACAGTTGAAAACTACGTGTCAGCAGTCATATGGACTGCGGACGCATATATGCATATATGCTTCAACAGTCATGTTGACTGCGGGCGCATATATTTTGTCATTTATCAGCAATGCTTACACACACACACACACACATATATATATATACATATATATATGAACATTTTTCAAAAAAAATCGTCAAATCTTTTATTAGTCTAGATATGGCTTGGACGCTGCATTTTGTTAATATTTGTGGTTTTGATTTTGAAAAATCATGTTTAGATTAGTAGTTCTCAAGTTCTCTCGCTTTTTTTAGATTCTTAAAAGAACTTGTGTGTGTATGTGTGTGTGTCTATATATATATATATATATATATATATATATATATATATATATATATATATATATATATATATATATATATATATATATATATAGAAGTAAGTTCAAATAAAAACAAGAAATAGTGTGAGAACGTACAAACAATATGTTTATGTTATTATTTAATAATGAATGTTGTCTATGTGTATTGTTAAAGTAATTTTTATATAAATATTAACATTGGATTATTCATATATTCATTAGAATGTTATAGTTCTATTATAAATTTATGTATGTGCATTTTTGTACTAAATTTTAATTTTAGTTTTAACATGTGACTATTTATTAATTCATTGTTGAATAATGACATAAAGTTGTGGATACAAAATTCATTGCCGAATAATAATATAAAAATAATGTTTTTACGTTCTCGCACTATTTGTTGGTTTTATTTGAACTATATATATATATATATATATATATATATATATATATATATATATATATATATATATATATATATATATATATATATATATATATATATATATATATACTTAGGTAATTTTGTTTAAACTAATATTATGTTATTGTATTACTAAATGTGAGCCAATCAAATATTTAATTTTTAAAGGAAAATGATTATCACTAATTTGATGTCCAATAAATGAAAAAGGCTTCACATTTAAAGATAACAGATTAGGTAGGGTATATGTGTATATTTGTCCTCTCAATTAAAATAGGTAACTGACTCTATTTTCATAACTTCTTGCATAATCCCTACAACTTTGCATCAATCCAGATTCCACTACCCTCTATATCGGAACACAAAATCAATGTATATATTCTATAATCAACCAAAAATAACGGTAGATTCTATTGTTTTTTATTATAAAGAGCTCTATTCTTGAAGATTGTTCAAAGAAATTGCATTGTGATCGTTCGAAGAAAAAGAAATTGCAGTACAATGAGGATTACAAGGACGACTTCTGTCAAATCGAAATTTAAGAACACACAAGAAACGATTTTAAATCTAGATAAGGACGATGATGATTTCGTTGCTCCGCCTACAGGTAATTTTCTTTTAGTATTTTTTTAAGGTAACCGTTTGAATACACAACATTCTTTTGGAATGTTTGAACAATGAAGTAGATGCATGTGGTTGTTTTGTTCGTTTAAGTAACATAGAACAAAATTCTGTAAAAATGAGTTTTTTTATTAGGGTTTTCTGAAATTGGGGATTTACAAACTAATTAAAATTTTTTTTGTGATTGTGTACTTTGTTGTGTCCTGTAAAAGCCAAAAACAATGTTGTTTCTGACCATTTTTTTCTTTGCAATATGTTGTCATTTTTGTAATATAAGTATGTCATGATGATCTTCTGTAAGAATTGAAAGTTTGTTTGTGGATTTTATGTGAAATTCATTCTTCGAGAATACGAAATATGCAAAATGAGTCAATGTACTTGCTGTTGTGGTAATTTAGGGTGTGAAGGTTTTGTTTGTTATTGAATTTTTTTTAGTATTTTGAGATATATTTTAAAAACATGCATAAATCTTTCAAGGTCTTCATGTTATGAAATAATTTTGTAAGATATTGTTGTATTGTTTTATTTTTTTGAAATATGAAATATGAAATATTTTTAATTTTGTAAGAGTTGTATTGTTTTATATTATTTGATTATTTTGAAATATGAAATATTTTTAATGAGTAGTTTTATTCCTATTATTTTGATGGTTTACTTTATGTCTAATCAGTGTAACTAAAAGTTTTAATTTCGTAAAGAATGTGGAACATGAGAAGGGGATGTGGTGGTTAAATAAATCTAATTCTCACAGAATCAGTGTAAAGTAATGTTCCTATAGGGATTACTATTAAGTATGTGTATATGTGTTTATTTCATTGTGTTTGTTACTGTGTTTTTGATGCTTTAGTTTTTTTGTAGTAAATGTTTGGATTTAATTCTAATAGAAACATTATACGTTTGTGTCTTGTATTCTTACAGAATGAAAACATAAAAAAGTATTGGTAGTGGTTATAAATATTGAAGTATTGACGTTTTCTTTAAAAAGCATTAAAATTCTAATAGAATCATTGTAAGGGAATGTGTTTACATGCTTAAAGAATTGTAACAAACAAAAGTGTATATATGGGTCATATAGATTAGATTGTGACTGGTTAATCTGGAGATTGTCATTAAGTAATTGTATATGTTTTTATTACTATGATGTTTTGCTAATTTATATTATTTGTATTTACTATTTGACTTTAATTCTGTTAGAAACAGTTTTCGGATTTGTGTCACATTCTTACAGAATGAAAACATAAAAAATATTCATAGTTTTTATAGGTAATGAGGTATGACTGGTTACTTTGAAAACTATTATTAATCAACTTTAATCATTCATTTCATTAGTTGTTGTAGAAGTTGTTCCAATCCCAATTAATGTTGATACTACAAGCCAAACAAATGTGAGAATGACCTACCGTACCAAATCAACACCCTGAAAGATAATATCAGTACTCAACCTACAGGTAGATTTAATTGGTTTGGTTGATGAAGAAAAATAACAAAAATTTTAGAACATGTTGGTAGTTAATATGTACTTTTTTGTTAATTAATGAAGCAGAAGGTGTTGGAAGTGAACCAAATGATACGAATATTGTTGGATCAAGCAAAACAAAGAAACAGAGGAAAACAACTTCAAGATCAGAACATGGAAAGAACAATGTAGATTCTGGGAAATCAGGTTAGATCATAAGTGCTTGTAACTAATGAATTTTACTATATGATTATGAGATGGATAATATAGAGTTTATTATTCTATTGAAGTTGTATTAGACGATTAGTAATTATGTTTGTGTGATTCAACAGATGTTAACAAAGATAAAGAAGACATAATACCAATTAACAGCACAAGTGTAGGAAGGCTGAAAAGGAAAGGTTCTGCTAGAAATACACCTGTTAAGGATAATAAGAAATCATTGGAAGCAAGTGGTAAAGGAAAAAACCAAGAGGTTTAAATGATTTATTTATTGAGAGTATAAGTGGTTCATAGAAAGACAATGAAAAGGAAAAAATTGGTGTGGATATGGAAGATAAGGAAAATGTAGTAAAAAGAAAAAAGGTAGTGCATGATGCACATTCAAAGAAATATCCAAAGAGAAAGAAAGGAAAAGTAGAACATGAAAAATGATAAAATCAAAAAAATGGAAGGGAAGGTCAGAAAACTAAGCAAGGATCATATAGAAGGTTACAGAAGACTAGCAACTAGGATGACTCCTGGAAGGATTAGTTCAGCTGTGAAAGTAATGTCACCCGCACAGAAAATTGGGATTGTGTCAATGGGATTTGGTTCACTTCTTCATATTGACATAAACACTACTCCGGGTTTACTTAACTACTATATGTTAGATCACTATGATCCAGATAGTAGCCGTCTAGTTCTGGAGAATATGGTCATAACAATTACGAAAGATACAGTGCACGACATATTGGGTTTACCAAATGTGGGGGCTTTCTGAGCATGAGTAGCTGTGATAAAGATAAGGAAGTTCTGAAAGAATGGAAAGTCAATATGATAAAAAGGGTTTAATGGTGAAGAATACCTGAAAATGATCAAAAACACAAAGCAAGACACTCTTATGTTTAGGCTGAATTTCTCGACCCTTTTCATTAACACATTTGTTGAATCAACTTTGAGTGGTACCAATCAAATAAATGTGGTGAATAAGTTGGTCTTGGTAAAAGACTTCTCTAAAATTGATTGGTGCAAGTATATTCTAGATTGTTTGGTCAGCAGAAAACAACTTTGGAGAAGAGATGATAACATATGCTATTACAGTGGACCTATACTCGTTTTGACGGTAATATTGGTGTCTATATTAGATATTTATTTTACTTTACAATGGAATATGTATAATGAAGTAATTAATGAATTTTAATCTTTTTGATGTAGCTGGTGTATATGTATAGGATAAAGTTCACGGGTTTGAAGATAGTGAAAAGGTTACCGTTTGTTAGAAATGTTACAGGTGCTCTACTTGAAAATAGAGAAGTTGGAGATTAGTGTTGGGGGGTTTGGTAGGCAGCTACTAGAAAACTTTGACGATATTGTTAATGATGATGGAATTATTGATGAAGATGAGATGTTGGACGGGATGATGAGGGATTATTGTGCCGAGGAGGTAAGCTATGAATTCGATAAGAATACGAAACATTATTTCTTTTAGAATTGTAAAAAAATGATAAGTTAATATAAAACCTACACACATACGAGCTGATTTAAATTGTGTGATGTGATTTATAATTATTGAATTATTTGGAATGTGGAACATTAATGCTTTAGAATTTTAATAATGATATGTTAATATCAAACTTACAGGTTTTCGTGGCTGTTATCGAGCATAGCTATGGAGTAATATTGTCCGAAAAGAAGAATATTGAAAAAGCACTAAAACATGGAATTGAGAAATTCCCAGACAACTTGATGTTGAAGGAGTGGTGTGAAAAAAATAAAGAATTGTTCAAAGAAGTGAATAATGCAGAGACTGGAGGAATGAAATATAATGAAGCTAGTTTTGATGATCATAGTAACAAAGGAGAGGCAGATGGTGGTAAAGTAGAAGGATTCTCTCCAGTTAGAGGATTGGTAGTTCATGGGGAAAAGAAGGATGATGGTGGAGGTTTAGTACACCTAATATGGATAAGGTAGATAATACAGACAATCTAACATGTTCACAGTTCTTGGAACATCCTGAAGTGTTGGCAACATCAATTAAAATGACAGATGATGATGTGTTGGCAAGTTATAAAAAAAAAAAAAAAAAAAAGAGGAAAGAAAATCTTGGAAACAGTTGAGGTGTGCGAGGAAGATGATGACAATGGAAAAAGGGGGGAAAAGAGAGCAAAAGTTACCTGTATATGGAAAATCACCTTTTGTTGAAAGGATTGTTTAAATGAGTGACAAGGTGAAGAAGGATGAAATATCATTATACCATTCAGTTTTTGCATCAAAAACAGAGTATGGGAAAGTTAAATAATATAATTTAGTGGTTTGCTTTTAAAATGTGGTGTTATAAAATCGATCATTTTATAATTGTCGAGCAGGGAAGAGATATGGAACATTGGGAGCGGGCATGTGTTGCATCAAGGATTCACATATCATTTTAAAAGCAACACGTTTATTCATGCGATAATCATTGACTGTTTATTCATGTGATATCATTGACTGTTGGTCATCATTACTCAACATAATGGAGGAATTAAGGGATGTATGATCAGTTTCTAGAGTTTTCTTTAACACAAATTTTTTGGTATGTATTTAAATTAAATTTAGTTCCAGTTCAATAATATGTGTCGTATTGATTGATTTATTAATCTATACACACAGAAGAGATAATGGGTGGATCGTTGTCATCTGAAAGAACTCAAAAATTATTTGATTCGATGTTGAAACTTCACCTTAAAAGTATACCAAAACAGGAAAAGCTGAAGGATATTGGACTGGTAATTTAATCAAATATTGTTTTTTTATCAATTACAACCTTAACATACAAAAGTAGCTTATTAGACTACTATCTATTTTATAACAAGTTTTCTTCCCAATAGTTGATAAGAGTAAATATTATATGATATGCTTTGATCTAAGGGTTCCAACGTACTACATTATATACCATGTGAACCGAAATGGTGTTGTTGAGGACATCTATGGAATAAACCCCGTTCATGTGGTATGATCAAGATCTAATTTTTCTAAGATTTAAAAACATGAGATTAGTAGTGTATTGAAAAATGATTGTATTGTATTGCAGAAAAAATTTCTTGGGAACTATTTAAAAATAGAGAATTACCAAAAGTCAACAGCTTTCAGCAAGATTAAAGCTCGTGTAATGAAAATGACATGGAAAGTAGAGAAAGAAGGATCAGATTGTGGAATATATCTTCTGAGGCATATGGAGTCATATATACGGGGAAAATGAAGGGCATTGGGATTGCCGTTTTACAGGAAAAAAACAGAGTGATGTAGTTGCATTAAATAATCTACGAATCAAATACATGGCAAATCTTATGAAATCAGAGTACAACAAACATAAAAGTATGTTGGAGAAAGATGCAAAAGCGTATAAGAGGCTCGATCCATTGCAGATATTGGCTAGGATGAACGAAGTGAAGGAAATCAGGGAGAAGCATAAATGTGGAAGGCGTCGATTTTAGGATGGGCATTTTATGATGTTAGGATGGTTTGTGTTGAAAGACTTTTGTAGTATGTTTGGTTTAAGTTTATGTGTTTTATTTAGGGAACTATGTTATGTTGTTTTATTTTGTTCTAGTGTTGTTTGTTTTGGGGAAACACTTTATCATGGTAGGATGGTTTATGTTGAAAGACTTTTTGTAACATGGTTTGCTTTGGTCTAGGTATTTTGCTTGGGGAACAATGTTAATGTGTTTTATTATGTTATAGAATTGATTGTTTTTGGGAAACAATTGAATGTGAATGGTGTTTGTTCTAGTAGTTTTTTTAGAAAGTGTTAGTATTTGATAGATGTTGGAATGTTTATATGGATATGAAAGTTATGAAAATATGCAATGTGTTGAAAAATGGTTTGTAATGTGCAGGTAAGTTTTGTTTTTCAAGAATGTAATTATTATATGCATTTGTTGTGGAAGTTTGATACAAGTTAGTGTAGACATTAATCGTGGATAGAAATTGTTATAATTATATGAAAATGATATTCTGATAGAATATATGTGCTTGATGACAAGTGGTAGAATGTATGAACATTAAGATTTTCCATGTTTGTTTCAATGTTATATTTCAGATAGGATACACATTAATCGTGGTAGAATGTATGAAGATTATGTTCTTACAAGTTAGGATAGTCATTAATCGTATATAAGAATTGTTATAAATTTAAGAGCAGCGTGTTCTAAAAGAATACAATAAGTTGATTACAGGTGCTAGAATGTATGAATATAATATTGTTACAAGTTAGGATACACATTAATCATGTATAAGAATTGCTAGAATTGTCTGTACATAATGTTCTGAAAGAATATAGTAACTTATGTTACAAATGGTAGAGTTTATGAAAATTATGTTATTCCATGTTTGGCTGAAGATATGCATTATTTTGAATGTTACATAGTAGTGTTTTTCACGGGTCTTAATTTTATAAAATATCGAAATTGTTGTCATTCTTACGAAAGAAAGTATGTAAATTGGAATACCTACAAAAATATGTTATGATTTTTTATTTCCGGTATTAAATTGTTCTAATAGGATTGACGTAAATGGCCTATTGTTAACTGTCTTTAATGTGATTAGAAAAAATTGTGTTTTGTGGAATTAAAAAAACTAATGGAAATAGTACATAGTTATAAAGTTGGGGAAACAAGATTGAATAAAGAACTAAAAGAAAGTATGCAAAAGTGTATAACAATATATGAAAATTTTATTAAAGACTATGAAATTTGTAAGCAATAAAAGAACTAAAGATGAAACAAAAAAGTTTTACTGTAATATAATATTAAAGCAAAAACTACAAATAAAGCATACTACTTAGACACGTTTTTTAAGAGGACAATTTCGCTTATCATGGTTAGCCATCTGTTTACATAAAGCACACTTTCGCTTAGGCTTCGAATATACTTTTTCCAACATTTTTTTTAATCTCTTACCATGACTGTCAGTCCCCTTATTATGAATATCTGATGGATTGTCAATATCGGGAGCATCATTAGTTAATTCTACGCCTATAATTTGGTTCTTGAATGATTCTGTTGATGGAATCTCAGGGGCTAGACAATCATCTACACATTTTTTCTTCAGCTTATTCGACTCTTCAAGGTATGACTTTAACTTCGATGCATCATGGCTTAAAAATGAAACACAACGATCTACATTTGAGAAAATTTCAATAGTCGTCATGTCAGAGTTAGAGTCTAGTAAAGAATTAGAAAAACGCCTTTTAAGAAATTCTGCTGGAACAACATCCTGATGCCACCATCTCATAATGTATTTTTCACGAATCTATTCAATACTATAGTACTTAAAGACACAAAATATGTGCCTACACAAAATACCGACATGTTCAAAATGCATGCAGGTAAATTTGAATGAACCATCTATTGTTGAGTGTGTAACCTGGAATATGTGTGATAAAATATGATTTTCAATAATAAAGTCTTGTGTGATTAAAAAAATAGTTATGAAGTGTTAAAGTAATAACGTACGATGTATTGGGTATCCTCTATAAGACAATCGTAATGGTATTCCTCAAGTTTGTCATCAACAACAAGACTTGATGGTTGCCTTGTTGTTATGTTCTTTTGCTTCTCCAAAACAATAATAGTGTCAACACCATTATTAGAAGTAACACTCATTTGGAAACAAGTGTTATCATAATCTGAAATCTCTTTCTGCACGTGATAATTTTTTTTTACGAGCGTAGACCTTTGAAGCATGTGGTTCAATTAGACTAGATGTGATGAATCTAGGAAGTGTTGTAGCAGTATTAAAGTCATTGACAACTTGATTACGCCTTTGACGTTCCATAACACCCTTAAATGTCATCATAAACATTAAAATATAACAACCAGTAAGGATATTGTTCTGAAATGATCAATTTTGGCCTTTCGACAATGATGTAGTTCTTATAAGACCAGACATCGGTATGTCCTTGAAAAATGCAGGTACCCAACGTCTACGCAACCCATACATCTCTTGCAACCGCTTGTTATTTGAAATGCTAAGCTCATTTAAACAAGATTTTCATTCCTTTTCAAAATCATATGGTTCCAACTTAGAATTCCAAATTATAGAGTGAAAACGCTTTCGAAAAGTTGAGTTTGTGGCTAGTTGCGATGTTATCTGAATAAATATAAAAAATATATATTAGTATAAAATATATAATTGTGTTGTACAACAAATGAAGGGTATGAGTGGTCTAAAATATAAATTCTAACATAATTTAGGTTAAAATTCTAGCAGAATACCATTTTGAATTGTAGTTATGTCATATATATTTTTTCTGAAATAATTAATTTATGATTGAACAATATGTACTAACAAGGTAAACATAGTGACTTTGTTTGAATATATAAAAAGAATATTCACCTTGTTTGGAAGTTTTTTTGTAATATGCCACATACAAAACCTGTGTGCCGACATTGGAAATACTTCATTAACAGCCTTGTTTAAAGCTAGATCTTGATATGTAAGAACAAGCGTAGGTTGTTTTTTGAATGTTTTCAAAAATGCTCTAAGCAGCCAAGAGTAAGAACTACCATCTTCTCTACTCAAAAGTCCAACACCAAAAGTCACACATTTCTTATGATTATCTATCCCGGTGAAAGGTACTAAAACCATATCATATCTGTATAAAAAGATAAAACTTGGTAAGAGTTGTTGGAAGCAAGAAAAATTATGTGAAAACATTGCAAAATTTGAAAATACTTATTCATGTTGAATGTGGCATCAAGAGAAACAACGTCTCCAAAAGCATTGTAGTTGTACTTTGCTGTTTCGTCAGCCCAAAAAATCGAATTCAATTTTTTCTCAACAACTTTAAAATCGAAAGAAAAACTTGGGATATTTTTTTTCCTTTCCAGCATCTTCACTACAAGGAATTTTGCATCCCTGGAACCTATGTAAGAATTAAGATATCTCGTATTGTTCTTGAAATCAGAAACCAACCCACCTCGAATGTCAGAACCACCCTGAAGTCCGAATACAATCTATATGCTCTTGAGGCATCAATATTTTGCTTTAACAAGTTATGAATAAAGATCTCCTATGAATAATCAAGTTTCCTCTTTGTACGAGACAAAAACATATTGTCCTTACCATACAACTTATGATTATGTTGTTCAACAAATTCAGCAACAATATATTTATTAGTACCATGTACTAGAATAAAAACAATTTTCACCTTGTATTCGCACCTAAACGAGTCTTTCCTTCTCTGAATCTTATTATGTTGAGGGTCCAAAGTATCCACTTTAGCGGTTATTGTTTACCTTCCCAATTGCATAGCAAATGTCGTTGTGTGGTAATGTCGGATTTGGTTGTTCTAAATGGTCCAAGCCTGACTTCAAAGCCTACTAATGATGCGTAATTGCAATACATTGATAATGCTACTATATATGAATCAAAATTTGAATTGATTTTAGCTTTGATATTGTCTGAAACAACAGGAATCTAATAAGATGATCCACCAGGATAAACATAATCATATGTAACATGCGATTGTTCTGCATAAAAAAATTAAAAAAATTGGCAAAGAATTAATCTAGTTTATTAAACTTTTTTTTATTCATATACTAACATTTCTGAAAATCAATGTTATCATCGTCTATAGTACAATTTGCCTCATTATCATTGAACTCGAATTCGATTCCTGCATCTTTTAATTAGAGTATGTGTATATAAAGAAAAAAAATACTTAAAATACATCACCTGGGTTATGATTACTAGAATCACCAAAATGATATTCATAATTGTCATATATGTGATATTGAATGTGTTCTAATAGATCCGCATCTTTGCAAGTGCAAGTTACGCCATATCACAAAAAACAATATAGAATTTCAACATTATTTGTATAAAAATTAACAAATACAAAAACTTATAAAGTAAATTCACCTAAATTCAGATTGCTATTCTCGGATATCTGAAACTCGACATTATTTAGAGAATCATGATCCCGTAACCCGAAATCTTCATAATCCTTAGGATATTCATGTTGATCATGAATATGATCGTCACCAGCTGATACTGTATCATCCATTAACAACACGATTGAACACCAGTTGATTGGAGAAAGCAAAATAAATTCAATATTACAAACTTTGAGCCAATCTAGTATATATTAAAAAAGCAGAAACCGTGTAATTGATATGTAACTAAAAAGACGTGATATATATCTGCATTTATTGTTATCAATTATTTAGTTTTTTAAATTTTTAGAAAGATTGTAAAGATAAGAATCAACACAAAATCGTATTATTCATCATGATATTGTAAATTTTTGATATATTCATATTCCAAATATAATTAATTCCATAGATAAGACTTCGACACATCCTGCGTTTTAAATTAGACTTTTAATAAATTAATTCAACAAACTTAAAAAAAGAAAAAAAAGGAAAAAAAAACTTTTTTTATGAATTTACAAATGATTTCTGATTTATTATGAAATAAACGCATATACTAAGAATTCAATTAATATCACAAGGGTGTTATTCTGTGAGAATATTTGAAACAAGATTTACAGTAAATTTAGTTTTAACACATTTGTTATGTATATTCTCGTACAACTTATCATATACATACTTATACCACGGTATCATGATCCAACAATCTTATTTTGTAATAACATATGTAATAATAATAACAGGTAATTTATTTTGCTCATGTTTAATCTATATATTGTAATACAAAGTAGCATTCTGGTAGAATTTGATAATAAGAATTATAACAAAATCTTTGATTAGTTAATAAGTAAAATGAATTTGGAAACACTTATTTTTTACGAATAATAAGAATTGTGTATTTGTTTACTATGTATCTTGTAATCAACAGTTAAATTCTAGTATTTTTGAAAATAAGAATTGTGTTTTTGTTTGTCTTATATGAATAATAAGAATTGTATTTTATATCGATCATTCTAACAGAATGTGTACATTTAACATTAAGTATAACACAATTTACGAAGAATTGTTTTATACTAAAATATGAGAACAAAAATACATTTACAACAACATATCTACATATCTGTAGTCATATGATAAATAAGAAAGTGTATGAAATTTTAATCAAACTCAAAATGAAATTTATAAGTATTAATTAAATGAAAACATAAACTTACAAAGAGAAACACCTATAATCCATGAATCCATATTATTATTATACTGAAATAAAACTCCATAAAATCCGATAAGACTAAATTGAAAACATTATTCAATTATTAAAATATGTTGACGAACTATACATCTACTCTCTCTTGATCCTTGCCTGAGGACAGTTCCTCCTATCATGACCAACACTAAAACAAATCCCACGTCTTCTTATTTTCTTCCGATCTTGATGCACTTGGCATTGATTGACATTCCGATCATAGTTATCAAAAAAAGTCCTTATTGTTATCAATATTATAACGCCCGCGTTTCCAGGCTAGGCATTATCATTGATGTAATAGTCTATGTTAAACCTTGTAACACTTTTTGAAGTATTAATGATGAAATATTTGAGTATTATGTGAATTATGTGTTTATTTTCTTAATTATTATAATTTAATGAATTAATAATAAAATAAGCGTCAAATTTGAAGTGTGGGATAATCCCAATATATTTGCATAAAGATGTAGTGGTCGAAACAAGGATTCCGAAGATATAAAGAATGCCGAAATCCGAGTTATAACGGAGAAGTTATGACATGTCGAAGTTTCGCGACTGAACCGACAAACGCCGAATGACGTAAAGAGTGAAATTTACGTTAGAGCGATATTTAGCCTTAGTGATCTAAACAAAAGTCGTAGAGTTCGTTAAACCGAGAGCGTGCATAAAAAGAACGCCAAAATCTGACTTCGTATGAGGAAGTTATGATTTATTAAAGTTTCGACTTAGCGGTATGCAGCCCGAAATACTCGATTTGAGATCGAGCGGTTTTTAGGCGAAACAATCTAAACGAGAATCGAAGATCTCGTTGTTGGTATCGAAGCGATAAAAAGTTAGGTGAGAACGGACGTCAAACGAAGAAGTTATGAATTTATAGCGAAATTTTCTGTCCCGGCTTATTAAAAATAAATAATAAAAATAAAGTCAAAATTAGCCGACGGAGTCTAAACAAAAGTTGTAGAGCGTAGTCTCACCTTTGCGTGGATATAAAGAACATCGAAAATGAAGTTCGTATGAAGAAGATATGAATTTTCGAAGTTTATTAAATAATTAATAATTAAATTTAATTATTAAATCCGGCATTATCCGAAAAGGAGTCACCGGACTCATCCGAAGTACGCCCAGCGTACCGCGAAGCATGACACACCTCGCACTCGAGTTCTTCGAATAACGCATGCAGTGACGATTTCGGAGGCTTACGCCCCGCGTAAGGCTGTAAGCCCAGCGTACGGCGAGGCCTCAACCTCCTATAAATAGGATGCGAGGGTTCCAGATATTTTTGCTCATTTCTTCTCCTCATTGTGCTGAAGCTCTGCGCGTAAACCCCCGAAGCCATCCCGACACCTCGAATCTCATATCCAAATTAAGAAGGAAGTTTCACGCTCCCGGGATCCCGAGAAGTGCGATTCCCGAGCCGAAGCTCTGCCCGCGAGAAGTTCGATTTTTGTGAAGATCTTCCAGATCTGCCGAAGAATACTACTTCTATAAGTCGTAGTGCTGTCCGATCATCTTCTGATCAAGTGAGTGTGTGGTTACTTTCTTCTAACGCATAATTATTAAGTATTTAATATAAAATACGTGTTATGTGTATATTTTGTTGTTATATGCGTGAATATATATTCACTTTCTTCTATCTCATATATACAATTTAATCTCTATGAAATACGTGTTATGTGTATGTGTCTCATCTGTTGTTTTAGGAGTATGTATTGAATGAGAATGCTATACAGGTTTTAAACTATGTATAAAAATATATATTTTTATCTACTAATATGTTAGGTAGAACATGGGTAGATAGTTGACGTGTGATAAACAGATGAGAGGCCTCGATGTTGTTTTTGATTCAGTCATCTAGCGGAGTTTAGATGACGACCACAGACTTTTCTAGATAGTCTTGTGGAACGCTAGCAGGTTCGCCACCTGTAGGTGTTAATGAACTTGGGTGTTCATTCGCTGTACTCCATCCCCCTCATGGTTGCCATATTTGACATATACTGTCGGGAAACCCCCGAATGCATGTGTTGTCACCCCGATGAAATATTCTAAGACTAGGTCCCTTGTGTTAGTTGTTTTAGGGACGTAAAGTGAGAATAATGGGAATGGGTAATTGGGTTATTGTTGGTTGGTGGAATTAAATATAATTATTTATTGTGGGTTGAAAACCCTATATGCTCACCAGGCTCCCAAGCCTGACCCACACAGTTTTATTTGTATTACAGGAAGTGGCGCAAGGGCATAAGATGGATGAACCATCAAGTTGTTTTGTTTACAAGTCTGAATATGTATATATTTGTTGAATGACTTGTAATGTTATCGTATATGCTTTATGGTCTGTATCGGAACATGACATCCCGAGTTTTGATTATATAATGAAAATACATTTCTTTTATGAAATGCTTTGGTAAATATTATTTTATCATACTTTGTTTTTGGGAACAAATTCCGAAACTCTTTTAAATCAAAAGGATTTACTTTGAAATTATTTTAAAAGCATAAACGAAAATCGGTCTTTTCTGGCCGAGATTTTGGGGATGTCACAAATATTATCTTTATTCTGACAAATACAACAATAAAATTCAAAATATGAATTTCATCACTAAAATATCATAAAGAACAAATATGAAATGAATATGATAAATGATTATTCTGAACTATGAATATAACAAAATTTATATGCATATGATAAACGATAATACAACACTATCAATATAAAAACGTTCATGAACAACATACCTTCATTATCGAAAGATTAGAATAAGCAAAATGATCTAAAGATGATGAACAATGAATCTGCAATAGAATAAAATGTATACGATGGATATATATATATATATATATATATATATATATATATATATATATATATATATATATATATATATATATATATATATTATTTTTGTTGATGTAATCCATATTTAATAGCCTGATATTTAGGAATTTGATTGATATCAATCAAACTTTAATTAACTTGGAAAATATAAATGATATTGTAAAATTACATTACTACCCTTTAAGAATGATTGGTACACATTTGTGCATATAATAACGCAATAACTAGATTAAACACCTGAACATCTCTCTCTCTCTCTCTCTCTCTCTCTCTCTATATATATATATATATATATATATATATATATATATATATATATATATATATTTGCCACTTGTCACACTCTCATTTAATTTTCTAAATATCATTTTGTGGCTATTTTGAATTAATTTTTTTTCCACATGTTATTTTATGAGTTTTTCTATTTTTATTAAATTCCACATAATATTTTAATACAATAATTGCAATAAATATAGTATAAATATATATATATATATATATATATATATATATATATATATATCAATTTCATTAATCAACTTACCTTTTAATTTCAAAATTTCATAAATTATGGTCATTAGTTTCTTTTGTTTATTTATTTAAATTATATGTTTAAATTTAAATGATAAAAAACATTTCCATTATAATAATTCATTATTTTTCTTGTTTTTTAATAAATTCAAAGTTTTTAAATATTTTGGCATATATATTTAACTTTTTTTAAATTAACCTATATAATAGACGAGTCTCACAACTAGTGTATATATATTAATATTCAACTCTCATTTAGGTCGCGTAAGCCAAAAACCGCTCGAACTAAAATTCGAGTTTCGGGCTGTACACTGTTAAGCCGAATCTTAGAAAAATCATAACTTCCTCATACGAAGTCAGATTTGGGCATTCTTTTTATCGACGCTCTTAGTTTAACATATTCTACGAATTTCATTTAGATCACTAAGGATAAAAAGTCCTCCATCGTAAATTCACTATTTACGCTTCCCGGTGCCGTGCCGGTTTCGTCGCGAAACTTCGACGGGCTATAACTTCTTCGTTATAAC